GCCTCAGCCGCCCCGCCGCCTCTGATCTCGAGCTCGGGCTAGGATCTGGCGTTGATGGCAGGCAGGAGGCGCGAGGGGGGCGAATGGGGCGTTTATTTATTTGCGGCTGCGCCTTAAATGATCGATGCAAAGTTCACTGACACCTCTGCCCGTGTGGGCTGGAAGACCTTTTTCACTCGTGCAGCGTGCAGGTACTCCTGCCAAGCCGTGGGGCCGTGGGGTAGGTAGGGTTCCCTCCTGGAAAAAGTGAGAAGACAAGAAAGTTCAAATTTGCCGTGACTCGACTGTTCCAGTGACTGCCGTCGTTCCGTCAAGATTCTAAAGAACTCGTAGGAATAGACCGTTTGAGAGTTGCTATCTTGCTGTAGCAGTAGCGCCAGCGGTAGGAGACGAACAGTATTGCAAATTTGCAATCGGACGTCCTCATGTCCGGATGAATGATCACGGCGGCAGTGTCCCACTCCCACCCCTTTTTGTCTGGTTTCTCCTTGGCCCTCCGCCCTCGCATCTGCTCATCCGCTATGGTCTATGGCTATGGCCGCCGCACACAAAGACGAACTTATGAGCAGTATATTTTTTTTCTCACGATAAATTAGCATCAACGTCAACCTCACCCGTTTTTTCAGCTGCAGAACAGGGCGGAAGACCAAAACCGAATGAGTGACGTGACGTCGCTCTGGCGCACCCACTCGTCATCCATCCAACGGCGGGCCGCCCCCCTGGCCGTCAATCATGCCCGCTCCGCCCATCAATCAAAGCGTAGGCGCGTCGTCAGAAGCCAAGCCACCCGGCGCTCGGCTCCCGCGCCTCGCCGCGGCTGCCTGCGCGTCCATTCTCCATCGGGAAAGCACGGCGCGGAAGGAAATGCCTCCGTACATCCTCGCATGAGTGGAGTGGTCGAGGGGCACATGCGCGAGGGCCGGGCCGGTGGGCGGTCAGTGGACAGTGGTGGTGGTGGCGGCATCGAGCCGGAGCCGGCGGGGTGGTGGGGCTCGTGCTGTGTCCCAACCAACTAGTAGCTCGCTTTTCCTGTCGTGGAGCTGCTGCTAATGCCGCAACTGCTCCGCTAATCCTTTTTCGTCTTTAGTTAAGGCTGCTTTGTCTGCATCTCGGCTTGCACCATGGTTACTTGATTAGGTTTTGTTTGATACGCATGTATTCATTTCAATTGAATATACATGCATCAAAAAGCCCTTAGCGGAGGTGTTGGCTGCCGCCTGCCGCCTGCCGCACGAGAGCAGGGGAAGGGGAACACGCTCCGTTTCGTGGAGTCCGGAGAAGTGGAGAACGATGGAGGTTTGGTTTTTTTTTTTTGAGAAACAACGATGGAGGTTTGGTGGACGATGAAGCCAGCCTGGCCCAGCCATTTCAGAAGCACGAGGCAGTCGAGGTTCCGGCCCATCGTCCTGGCCCTTTTCGCGTCGCCTTTGAATGTTTTTCTTTCTGGGCTTTATTACGGAGACGACCATGCATGGTCTGGACTGGACCGGACATGGGCATGGCTACCTGGTGTCGTATGGCACCAATGAGTGTGCCTCATCGTCAGATGGACTGATCCAAGTGATCAAATTGTTTGTTCCGACTTGTGCCTACATATACAAGAATGTCTTCCGGTCTTGTTGACGGCACCTGTGTGGGCAATTGGGGCATTGGGCACGGCAAAATACGGGGATGCGATCGACAAGGGAATTTAGTAAAAATCAGATAGCGCCCGAACGTCTGGTCTCAGGACATGTCCGAACGTCTGGTCTCAGGACATGTCCGGACACAGCTCCCAACCATACAGCGTCCGATCTCAGAACGCACTGCGCCTATCCAGACATGCCCCCATCCCACGCCGCTCTCAGCTCCCAGCGTAATAGCAGGAGTCTATCCCCCCGCCTGTCCCCGCCTAACAGCAGAACGTGCGTGACCTGACGCCCCAATCCTGCGCCACGCCGCGTTGCAACATGTGCGGTATTTTTTTTTTTTGAGACATATCTATATAGCTATTACAATATATGCAATATTCAAATATACTTTTTGCAACATTTAGATGAAACACTTGCGATATCTTTGTAAACGATTTGAAGCACTTCAAACGTACACTTGAAACATAGGGTTCTGGCGCAAGATCATCTTCTTTGCTTGACCGTATGAGCTCTATGCCGACATAGAACTCGACGGCGGCGCGGAGGTCGCCGGTGCAGAGCTCGTCGCCGGCATAGAACTCGACTGCAGAACAGAGATCGTCGGCATAGAGCTCGGCGGACGGAGCGGAGGTTAGCGTGGCTTGAGCTCATCGGTGCGGCACGGTGCGTGAAGCTCACCGGAGCGGGCGGCGGGGAGGTCAGCTATGGCACGCTGGAGGTCCTCCTCTTGTCGGTCATGTGTGGGAGCAGATGAGACACGCGTCAAGATGAAGCGTCCCGGATGGGTTGGGCGTCGCGCCGTATTATTATGGTTACTAAATCACATCAATGTGTAGCATAAAGGGATATTATGGACCAATGCTATCGAGTTTCTACTACATAGTGCGTTTTATTTTCTCTTCTTCTTAACATTGAAGGTTAGCTATAGTTAGTTAAGTCTCAAGCGTGACGGAGCCCGGTGGTGGGGTGGGGGGGCTCAGCCCCCACCGATCCTAGACACGTGGAGCCCACCTAAGCTTTCTCTTAAAATTTTATATATATATATGTATTAGGTAGGAGAGACTAAGGTTAAGAAGATAAAAAAACATCTATTCTTTTATTCAGCACCTTCTAAATTTTTTTCTTGTTTCGTCCCTGGTCTCCGGAATCAAGAGGCTCGTTTGGTTGAATTGGAAGGGACGATTTCAGGCGTCGGAGGGCGTAGTCTTTCTTGCAGTACAACCTACGCCGGATGTTCCTACTACTCGTACAACCTACGTATGACTGTGAGGAGCAAGCGCAGCTTTCCAGAACTTTAACAAATAACTCGAGCTGTCCATCCCTCACATGGTCATTTTTCTTCCTAGATAATGACCCTCACACATGGTCATGGGCGTCGATGTGCTGGACGTGAACAGAACGTGCTGAGGGGCTCGCATCCGGATTCCCTGAGCCCTGGGTTGTTTGAGCTTGTTTCGCTAATAAGCCATGGCTGAAAATACCGTTGGCTGATTTGGTGTGAGAGAAAAATATTATTTATTGACTGAAAAAGTACGGCTTATAAGCTAAACAAGTATAAACGAACAAGGCCCTTAACTGTACTGTGGTGCGATCTCAATCAGCGCTCAGCCGGTCACCTAATAGATAGTGGATTTATTCCGGACAGTTTGTGGCGGTGTTTGTTCGATAATAAAATACGTTTACATCGCCTTATTATGCTAGTGATAGGAATAGCATCAATTCGTGCTGCACCAGCCATTGCCTCTAATGCGACACCGAACAACTTTTTCTTTTGAGAGAAACATCTAACGGCTTTTCTCTTGTCGACCAGGTCGCAGAACACAATTCCAACGATCTCAAGGTTCAACCACGAGTTCTTGTTGTAAAAAAAAACCACGAGTTCTCAAACATATTTATTTTTTATAAATCCGCCATGCCAGAAAATTAGCCTCCACCACTGCATGTTGCGCATCTTTTTCTTTTTACTAGATGTATCATGTCAAAGTATAAGTATTCCACTATCATAAACCAAATAAAATGTAACCAAAATATTCAAATCCATAAAGAAACTATAAAAGCTAAATGGGAAGCCCTCTAGATTAGAGAATGGGTGTGTGTTGGAGTTGGGGACGTCAGAAGAAAAATTGAAAGTAAGAAAGAAGGAACTATCGAATATGGAGACCTTCAACTCCGGCGAGCCCCTCTTCTCCTCGAGTGAGCTTCAGGGGAAATAGTTAGGCTAGTTGTGGTGGCACCATCTAATGTGATGGAGGAGACTAGTTGAAGAAGGCCAGGTAAGGTGTCATAGTGGTAGTGGTCAATGAGGACAGCAGAGGATGGTAGTAGAGGCATGAAAGCTTGAGTACCATGCCCAGCAATTAAGAAGATGTTGAAGCACTTCATATGGTCCATGGTGCCGGTGGATTAATGCGTCGTATCTCACAATGATAGCGTCACAGAACTACGAAGGATGGTGGGAGAGGCATGGAAGCCTGGATATGAATAGAGTGGTATGTGGAACAAGGGGAGCAAGCGATCCTTGTTAGTTGTTAGCATCGATAGAGGCAAGACACACTAGAGGCCATAGGCACAATGATAGTAGAGGAGTAATAAATTGGGGAGCTGATTTAGCATTGGGCTTATTTAAAGATAACATTTTATGTATAATTGTGCTTTGCCAATATGGAAGAAGTGCATTTTAGTACCGAAACCATTTTTTAACGGACAAAGGCATATTTTGTCCATTCAATTGTGAGGAAGAGAAAAGAACCTTTTATTTCTTCCAAAAAAAAGAGAACCTTTTCATTGATGAGAAATGAACGTTTCAGCGGTATGTTGATCGAATCACAATTATACTGACTGTTAAACATTGTTTTCACCAAATTTCAAACCAAGTACCAGCAACAGTATTTTCCTCTCATAAAAAACCAAAGACCACCAAATTTAAACCAAAGACCAAAGACCAACCAAATGGTGAACAGGCCCATAGTGGTGGTAGCCCCCCAGCCCGCTTCCATGAACGGAGTCCTCCTGCACCTACCGTTGCTGATCCCACTAGGCCCCACAGACCAGGCGCACATACCTGGCTTCGCGATCCAGTCCAGCGGTATACCCGCCTACGTGCACCGGGCGCACGGGAGCGGTCGCTGTGGACCTGTGGCGCGGCGGTGCCCCCCAGCCTCTACTCTCCCTCTCGCGCGACCTCACAAGCGCGAACCCCGCGAAGCCGCCAAGCCACGACGGAACTGCCTGCCCCTCGACCTGCCCGCCTCGCGCCCTTCCGACGCCTAGGGTTTTCTACCGGGCGCCGCCGCCGCAGCCGCGACCCGGGATGCAGGTGGGCCCGCGCAGTTAGCCCGCCCGCCTTCGGACCCACCGCCGCCGCGCGCCATGTCGCTCCTACGGCGGCGGAAGCAGCAGCAGCCGCCGCCGCCGCCCTCGGACGGCGACGGGTCCGACCACGACGACAACGACAAGGGGAAGAAGCCGTCCTCGTCCTCGTCCTCCGCGCCGCCGTCCAAGGAGCCCACGAGGCGGACCAAGGCCAAGTGGTCGTGCGTGGACAGCTGCTGCTGGCTGGTCGGGTGCGTGTGCTCCGCCTGGTGGCTGCTGCTCTTTCTCTACAACGCGATGCCGGCCTCGTTCCCGCAGTATGTTACGGAGGCCATCACGGGGCCGCTCCCGGACCCGCCCGGGGTCAAGCTGCAGAAGGAGGGGCTGCGAGTCAAGCACCCCGTCGTCTTCGTCCCCGGCATCGTCACCGGAGGGCTCGAACTATGGGAGGGGCACCAGTGCGCCGAGGGGCTCTTCCGCAAGCGGCTATGGGGCGGCACATTTGGTGACGTATACAAGAGGTGCTTTTCTTCCTTTTTGTTGTTTTTTTTTCCGGAATCACAGTAGTCCTCGTGAATTTAATTATATTAGTAACAAGCACTGGAATTTTGTCTGGTTTATGAGAGTTTATTTAGTTTTCGGTTGGTTGGACCCTATCAACTGAATGTTTTTTGTCTATATCGCTTGTGCTTTAAGTTTACTTTGTTTGGTCGTTGATGTTGTCTTTAGAAAATACAGGTACAATGTTTTGCTAATGTTACTCGGAATAGTCCAATGTTACTCTATTCTGTACTTTCATTTGTTTCGTAAATGTTACTGATAGTCAATCGGCCTGGTCTTTGATATATTTGTATTCAAGGTTTTAATTCCTATGAGACTTTGAGATGTCTTTTAAGGAAATTCTTCTTTTGAGAGCCGTGGAGCTATCTCAGTGACAGGGTTCTCACTGTGATCTCGGCAATGATAATTCCTCTATGATTTATTTTTTTTGTTCTTATGCAAGGGTCCAAAAGTTCCTTGTATTTTGATTTCGGCTTGTGCTTGGTGAGTAGGTCGGCGGCCTGTTGGTCCCAATCTCTGTTTTAGCTATGTGGCTTCTCAAGATCTGAAATGTGGCAGCAAAAACGTCTGACTGCTGTCTTGATGCGTTTTTTTTTTTTTTTGAGAGAGAGAGGGTTGAGATTTTTGTTAGTATCACTAGTGGAAAGTGTGCAATATGTGCACTTTGGACCTGCATCTGCATGGAGCTGGTGTCTTGTGAAACTATAAAGCACCCACACTTTTCTTGTACTATTTGCTTGCCCTTTACTATTTCTCTCTCATCCTTACTTGGTTTAGATGGTGGGCACATGGGAACTGTTTTTATGTCCTTGAAGAAGAGTAATTATTTTCCTAAATCATGTAGTTTCTAAACTTTCAGAAGAAAACTGCATTTTGCATGGAAAGCTGGAGTTTTTTTTTAAATTTTTTTGGTGTGGTATTAGGCATGCATAGCAAAGTTTCAGAAAGAATTTGGTCCCCTCTAGCAGTTCTATCATTCAGGTATTGCTTTTCTAGAAAGATCCATGTTGCCTGCCATGTACTTTCTGACAAGAGTACTAATCAGAATTTTGACCTTATTAGCCTTGTGTTGTTGAGCTATCCCATGTATACTACAGGGGAAAGAAATGCCTTACACTTTGTCTTAAACAGTTACTTATTTCCACTAACATTTTGGCTGGATCGTTGTTTTTGGTTGCAAATATTTGGTTTCTGTCATTCTGAAAACTGAAGTGCACTAAGCCTCATTGGGCCCAGCATTATTTTAGGTACCAGGAAAATGAGGGATGCAGTTTCACTTTTTTCCCTTCGTCAGTTGAAATCCATTTCACTATGCTCATCATATGAATCTTCCGCTTCAGAAGTTGTTCATTTTGTGTCCTAAGAAATACGAGGACAGGTTCCACAACACATTTTTAGGACATATTTTGACATTACATCTTTATCAAATCAGTTGCGGTGAACTGTGAACAAATGTGATTGTTATGCATATCAGCACCTCTTGTATTTGCATTCTTCCTGTAAGCAGTAAGTTTGACAATAATCGGATGAAAAATAGCCGAAGCATCTTATGCCATAGCAGTTGTGAACTTTTTCTTTGGCTACTGAGTCTTACTTTCTCTTTCTGGTCAAATCTTCATTTTTTTTTCAGACCTCTATGCTGGGTTGAACATATGTCGTTGGACAATGAAACTGGATTAGACAAACCTGGAATAAGGGTCAGGCCGGTCACAGGCCTTGTTGCAGCAGACTATTTCGTCCCTGGATATTTTGTTTGGGCTGTCTTAATTGCCAATTTAGCTCGTATTGGATATGAAGAAAAGACGATGTACATGGCTGCCTATGATTGGAGGTTATCTTTCCAGAACACTGAGGTACCCTTCTTCGATGACCTTATACAAGTAAATTTAGTCAGAAGTCACCACGGATTGGCTATTTGGTTCTGAACTTCTGATGCTTGGTGTCTTGGTGATAGTTCCCACTGTATGTAAATGGTTCTGGTATAGAATGTATTGCCATATTTGTAATGCAGATTACTATATGCAGGTTCGTGATCAAACTTTGAGCAGAATAAAGAGCAACATTGAACTTATGGTAGCAACAAATGGTGGAAATAGGGTGGTGGTGATCCCACACTCCATGGGAGTCCTCTATTTTCTGCATTTTATGAAATGGGTCGAAGCACCTCCTCCCATGGGCGGCGGCGGTGGTCCAAACTGGTGTGAGAAGCATATTAAAGCTGTAATGAATATTGGAGGACCTTTCTTAGGAGTTCCCAAGGCTGTTGCTGGGCTTTTCTCATCTGAAGCCAAAGATGTTGCTGTTGCTAGGTAATTTAAACAGAGTTTGCTAGTTTTAGTAGGTATTTTCATGTTACCAGAGTTGAAGTTTACTAGGTGATGCCTACTGAGATAATATTGTTTCACAATGTTGTTCTTTATAAGATTGCATCTGAAATGTTTCGCCCTTTATCTATACTAGTTAGCATACATCAGACTATAGTTTACATATTACTTTTGTTAATGTCATTTGTCTATATGCTTACTCGGTACCATACTAAATTGCACTTATCTTTTCTGGACAAGATCTTCTGTATCTTATTTACTCCGTAGCTCTGGCATTCTGATTGCTGCTGATATCTTACATAAAGTAAGCATATAACCATGGTGATTGAGTTTATGCAAGATCAAATGCTTTGTTTTAAATTGACTATAATTACTAATATCTGCTGTGTGATGAAGTTTGTGGGGATTGAGTGGTACACAATCTAGCTTCTAGGTTGCATAAAATCATTTTATATTATGTTAGGTTTAGTCCCACATCTATAATCGATGGTGGGGGAGCACAACATATAAGGTGGGGCAACCCTCACCTATCAGCCTAGTCTTTTGGGTTGAGTTAGGCCCAAGACCTTGGTATGTTGTGGGCTCCGGTGGACCTAGGCCTGAGGGGGTGTCAGCTCGTGCGTATAGCGAGCTGGGCCGGTATCCGCTGCGCACTCTTAACATATTAGCTGATAATACTTTTTGCTCTTTAATATTCTATGATTTCAAGAAATGCATGTTGTTTTCCATTTTTCCATGTATGCAACTATTCTGGTTCAGGTATAAGGCAATTAATTAATTTATTAAAGCAAGGGAATATAAAAAAAAATGGAATATTATCCTGAAGTTGTAAAAAATCATATATTCTAGAAAAAGAAAAGAAGCGTTAAACATCATATTATGAACGGATGGAGTAACTTCTGAATTCAAGGTATCACAGCAATAATGCAATCATTCATTCCCTAAAACAAGCACAATCACTAACGCAAGTCTAAGCATTTCTCTGTGACCCATCGTTAATTCCCTAAATTGGGCAGTAATACGTTCACATGGTAAATTTGAGCTATGTTGGTCCTGTTATTCATCCTAAAATGGTGCAGAAGTTACCCTCGTGTGCTTTGTTATCCCACGAGTCATAATGTATGACATGGCATGATGGCAAAGATATCCAAATGTGAGCTTAAATGAATCCAGACAATGTTTAGCATGTGGTTACCAAGGGGTACCAATGTAAACACATTTGAATTGTGTTTTCTGATTTCATTTCAAACATGAACTTGGACTGCTGGATACCTTTCTATCCTGATTTTCTTCTATTTGTTTGTCCAAAGAAAATCGCTCTCCGGTGAAAGTAGTAAAATCAGTTCCCCACTAAATTTTGTTGTTTATGTACAGAGCTATCGCTCCTGATGTCCTGGACTCCGATTTTCTTGGGCTTCAAACTTTGCGCCATTTGATGCGTATGACCCGAACATGGGATTCGACAATGTCAATGATTCCTAAAGGTGGTGATACAATTTGGGGAAATCTGGATTGGTCTCCAGAGGATGGCCTTGAATGTAAAGCTAAGAAGCACAAAACCAATGATACCAATGATTCTAAGGATACCAATGGGGAAAATATCGAAGTTCAACCTGAACCTATTAACTATGGAAGGTTGGTATCCTTCGGTAAAGATGTAGCAGAAGCACCTTCTTCAGAGATTGAGCAGATAGAATTTCGTGTGAGTATTCAGAAGCTTATCAACACGTTTTTGCCTGTTTCCTTGGGTGTGGTCTTTTTCTTACGCCACTTGTCAATGCCTTTTGCAGTTTGGCTTATTTGATCTGTTTCATATATAGTTTTCTTGTGTAGTATGCATTCATTTCCATATGTTTATAAACTTGCTGATCAAGTTATCGGTTGTGCTAGTTTGAACCTTTCTATTCACCATAGTCTGTAAATAGGTTTGGATCCAGATGTAGCTCTTGGCTCAGTCTCCCAAAAAACAAGTAGAGAAAATCTTAAAAGACTATTTTAGTTGGGCGAGTTGTTAACAATCAGGACTTAGTGTGGTTTAAAGTTAGTACTAAACACTTCTACTGAGACCATTGAAACAAAACTAGATTTTCCTTCTTTGTGTTGCTTTACATCGGTATTATATGTCACCTCATTGCATTAAGGTATATATTTGGGATAGATTTATGGAAATGGATTATAAGCTGCACATGATGTATTTTTAATATTGGAGCAAAACTGTGCTTTGAGCATTTCAGGATGCTGTTAAAGGTAATAATATCGCCCATTCAAATACGTCATGCCGGGAGATCTGGACAGAGTATCAAGAATTAGGATGGGGTGGAATAAAGGCAGTTGCAGACTACAAAGTTTACACTGCTAGTTCTGTTATAGACCTCCTTCACTTTGTTGCTCCAAGGATGATGCAGCGTGGAAATGTCCACTTTTCATATGGAATTGCTGATAACTTGGATGATCCAAAATACCAACATTACAAATATTGGTCAAACCCCTTGGAAACAAAGTATGAGTTATTTGCCAACATTCCTTTTCTATATTTGATAATAGCTATTCTCAGGCTATTTATGTTTCCATTATTCTAGTATTATAACATATGATCATTTCATCTTCAGGCTACCGAATGCTCCTGACATGGAAATATTTTCGATGTACGGAGTAGGCATTCCTACCGAAAGGGCATATGTCTATAAGGTGGCCCCGCAGGCAGAGTGTAATATACCTTTCCGGATTGACACCTCGGCTGAAGGTGGGGAGGAAAATAGCTGCTTGAAAGGGGGTGTTTACTTAGCTGACGGTGATGAAACTGTTCCAGTTCTTAGTGCGGGCTACATGTGTGCAAAAGGATGGCGTGGCAAAACTCGTTTCAACCCTGCCAGCAGCAAGACTTACGTGAGAGAATACAGCCATTCACCACCCTCAACTCTCCTGGAAGGCAGGGGCACTCAGAGCGGTGCACATGTTGATATAATGGGTAACTTTGCTCTGATTGAGGACATCATCAGAATAGCTGCTGGGGCAACCGGTGAGGAAATTGGAGGCGACCAGGTTTATTCAGATATATTCAAATGGTCAGAGAAAATCAAATTGAAATTGTAACCCATTGGAAGTTAAAGAAGTGCCAACCCGTTGATTGCGTTCCAAATTGATTGCCTGAGTGCAACTCTGTGGATTTTGATTAAATATTGTAATTTTTCACGCTTTATTCGTCCCTTTCGCAAATTTAAGCCGATGCGATGTTGTACCACTATTTTGGCAAACGTACGGCATTGTATATTAAAATGTACAGGTGTAAGTTACATTTGCTAGCTGAAATTATGTAGTCTTTTTCTGTATGGTTTAAGTCTTAAGTATTTGCTTGGGTATTTTGCCCCCTTTTTGATACGGTCTGTGTCGAAGTTGTAATTGACAATGATTCTTTATGGACCATCCTGGCATCCTGGAGCAAACAGGCAAACTATTTAAAAAATCCTACTTGGTTATTCAAAAGATTTTGAAACTTAGTACATTCTTAGTACATCCATATATGTATTCACATATAAAAGTCGAGATGCAAACTTAAATTAGAACAAAATCATACGAACATAACAAAATTCAGATGTATGTGCATTACAAGACAAAAGCAGAAATGTTCTATTGTAGTGCATATAACAACTAAAATTTATCATTTTCATATGATTTTTTCTAGTTTGAGTCTTCATCTCGACTTTTTTTTTCATGAGTATATATATATGAATGCACCATGGATGTACCTAGTTTTAAAAAATTAAAAATGATCAAAATATGGGTTTTCAAATGGTTTGCATGTTTGCACTAAGATGTACTTTCTCCGTTCCAAAATAAGTCCTCATCACACAATTCGAGAAGTCAAACAATCTTAACTTTTATTAAATGTAAAAAAAACTAATATCTGTGACACCAGATTAGCATCATTAGATTAATTACATCATATACTTTTATAGTATAAGTCTATTTGAAGATATAAATATAGATACTATTTCTTAAAAACCTAGTTAAAATTGAAATTGGTTACTCATAGATATGTGAGATAAAAATTTACTTTGGATGGAGGGAGTAGTCTGCACCATATATTTTCTCATGGTAGTGATTTGCGCGCGCCCATGCGCGCGAGTCACTGGCCGTGCTTGTACGTGGACAATGGAGCAACACTAACAGATAGTAAACACGATATGCATTTGCCTCCACCTTTCAGATAGTCCAGCAATGCATTCTAAGACAACTGCCAACAGATGTCAAAACATCACATATATATTACACGAGACACAAAGAGTGTTCAAATAGCACTTAGTCTTACACGAGGCAGGCCTACACTGGCACATTAGATGCCTAAGCAGTACATATATTTTACATAGAACGGTCTCTCGTAGCAGCGTCAATCACTGAACATGGCAGCTCAGAGGTAACTTTTTTATACACATATACTACTAAAAGATTCATTTGTTCCATAAGAGGTCTTCTGTGAAATCGGCTAAGAGACATGATGCTGGAGCCGTGCAAACATGGGGCGAAGTTCCTTTTTTCCCTAGGCAATTGGATATGTTTAGATGGGCACAACTGTTCTGTGGGCTAGGCCGGCTGGCTGTGGTTTCTTGAGCAAAAGAACATGCGGTTGCCTATATGCTGTAAGTCGGCAGTAGTAGGATTGGTCTCAACACACTTCCACACAGAACAATCGTCTACTAGTGGATATCTGGAATTAGGAAGCAAAGATTTGTAAGTACTTAGGTACTCGCTCTGTCGAGAAATAGTGAAACTAAGCAAATCTAGACCAAATTTACAGGATACTAATATGTACCGGATCAAAGATGTGAATTATGAAAATATATTTCATACTATATCCAATGATATTAATTTGATATCATAAATATTATTCTTCCTATAATTTTGGTCAAAGTAAACAAAGTCATGGAGAAGCATGTTACAAACCATACAAGATCTAAAATCGAAGGGAACTATATATACTGTCCAAAAAGGTAATGTAAATCTATTGACCAAACCTAAGGAAATTCTAGATTGCTGAAATGTCAAGGACATGGAGAAGCCTACATGGATAAATGAAATTTCCTTCCGCCTCCATGCTCCATACCTTTACTTTGAACATTAACAGCAGTGTCTCGGTCCAGTTCTGCCCGTCTAATGGTAGTGCGTGGTGGTTGACCTGTGTTTATGGTCCCCAACTTGATCATGACAAGATCCAATTTCTTCAAGAATTGAGGGATGTCAGAGTTCAGTGTTCTGGGCCATGGCTGGTAGTCGAGGACTTCAATCTTATTTATAAGGAGGAGGACAAGAACAATTCCTACCTCAATAGAGCAATGATGGAAAGGTTCAGAAGATGGATAAATGATGTGGGGGTCTCTGAAATTCCTCTTCATGGTCGTAAATATACATGGATCAGCTCCTTCACTAACGCTTCCCCTACTCTTGTTCGGTTGGACAGAATGTTTTGTTCACTGGACTGGGAAGATCAGTTTCCAGGATGTCTCTTGCAGTGTGATGCTTCAATTGGTTCAGATCATTGTCCCCTGATTCTTGGGTTGAAGGATTTTATTAGCTGCAAGAAAAGATTTCATTTCGAAGCCTTCTGGCCTTCTCTGGATGGTTTTCAAGAAGTAGTGAAGGATGCTTGGAACACTGTACAACCTAGTACCTGCCCACTTGATACCCTCGCTCTGAAACTCAAGGCAACAGCCAAGAGGTTACAAAGCTGGAGTCAGAAGAAATTTGGTCACTTCAAGTCCCAATTGCTCATGGCAAAAGAGATCGTCCACCATCTTGATATTGCTCAAGAAAGCAGACCACTTCAGCCTAATGAGTTATGGCTACGCAATAATCTCAAGAAGCATTCACTAGCGCTTTCTTCTCTGCTGAGAACAATATCAAGACTCAAGTCCAGGATGAATTGGCTAAAGGATGGGGATGCCAACACAAGGCTTTTTCATCATTATGCAAGGTATAGAAAAAAGAAGAATTTCATCCCCAAATTGCATGTTGGAGATCAGGTTTTCACAAAGCATGAGGATAAGGCAGCTGTTGTTCTAGATTTTTATGATAGTCTCATTGGGACTGAGTACGATAGAGGGAGAACTATCAACTTGGACACCCTTGGCAGCCCTGGTTTTGATCTTGAAACTTTGGATTCGCCTCTCTCAGAAGAAGAAGTGTGGAACACCATAAAGGGATGCTTGCTTTGATAAGGCTCTGGACCGGATGGGTTCACTAGCAAGTTTTATAAAAGTTGTTGGGCAGTTATCAAGAATGACGTCATGGCAACACTTCATTTTCTTTGGACGGAAATTTTAGAAATCTCAAAAACTGAATTTCGCATACATCACTCTGATTCCAAAAAGACCAATCTTTGTTCAAGTCAAGGACTATAGGCCAATTAGCTTGGTTCACAGTTTTGCCAAACTTGTGGCCAAAATCTTGGCTAATAGGCTCATTGATCGGCTAGATGAGTTGGTGTCCTCTAACCAAAGTGCTTTCATTAAAAAGAGGTTCATTCAAGATAATTTCATGATGGTTCAGCAGACAGTTAAATTCTTACACTCTCACAAGCGACCTAGAATCCTCCTCAAGCTTGACATTACCAAAGCTTTCAACTCGTGTGTCTTGGGCCTTTCTTTTGGAGGTGCTTAGAAAATTGGGTTTCGGCAATATTTGGTGTGACATGATCTGTGGCCTCCTATAATCTTCATCAACCCAAGTCCTCTTGAATGGCATCCCAGAGAAGGTATTCGCATGCAGAAGGGGTCTAAGACGGGGAGATCTGCTATCCCCTATGCTCTTTGTTCTTGTTATGGATGTATTAAATCGAGATGTTCACAAGGGTCTTTGAAGTGGGGCTGCTACAACCTTTATCAAGGAGGCCTATCCAACATAGAATCTCCCTATATGCCGATGATGTAGCCATCTTCCTTCACCTAATGCAAAGAGATATCAACTTGTCCTTCATGACCATCTGGATTTATTTGGTGATGCTTCCGGCCTTAGGACCAATGTTCAAAAAGTAATGTCGCCAATCCATTGTCTTTGAGGAAAATTTGGACCTTATTCATAATTTGTTGCCCTGTGAGATGCTTTGGATTTCCCTTGCAAATATTTGGGGCTGCCACCGACCATCAAGAAGTCGACTAAGCGATAGGTCCAACCCATCATCGACAAAATTGCAGATCGACTTCTGGGTGGAAGGTGATTTGTTGACCAGAGTGGGCAGAGTTATTCTAGTGCAGTATGTTCTCACAGGAATCTTGATTTATGTGGCCATGGCATCAGATCTCCCACCTTGAGCTCTCAAAGCAATTGACAAGATCGGAAGGGCCTTCTTGTGGAGAGGTCGAAAAGAGGCAAAGGGTGGTCTTTGTCTCATTGCACGGCCTAGAGTTTGCCGCTCCACCTTGAACTTGGTGGCCTTGGGATTATTGATCTAAAGGCTTTGAATATTGCTTTAAAAGCGCGATGGCCGTGGCTCAAGCGGAGTGAGCCCAACAAACCGTGGGCAAATCTACCTATCCAAGTCAGTACAGAGGTAGCTGGCCTCATCTCCGTGGCTGTAATAACTGAAGTTGGAAATGGATCTAATACACTCTTTTGGAAGGACAAATGGATAAGTGGCAAAAGTCTCGGGACATCGCACCTCTAATATATGCATTGGTTCCTAAAAGAAGGTCAAGTACACGTCTTGTGGCGGGAAGCTCTAACGGGGAAAAATGGATAGAGGACATACTGAGGTGAGATCGGTTCTCTCTTGCCTTGTTCCGAAGATCTTCACCTCTCGGATGTTACGAATTTGTGGAGCTAAATGAGGAAGTTCACGATAAGCACATCCGGAGGCTATCTGCTTGAGGAAAATATCTGACAAAGAGCGCCTACGATCACGCTCTTCGAGAGTGGTGTGCATCGCTTTGAACCTTATGAAAGAGTATGGAAATCTTGGGCTCCACCCAAATGCAAATTTTTCATGTGGCTTGTCGCTCATAATAGATCTTTGGACATGATGATTGGCAAAGAGGGGCTCCCTCACCCGGATCAAGTGCCTTCTATGTGATCAAGAGGAGGAGGACATTCACCATCTTCTTGTGGGCTGCGTTTTCTCAAGAGACTTCTAGTTCTCTCTCCTATCTCGCTTTGGTTTCATGACACTTGCTCCTCGGCCTTCCGACCAATCCTTTGATAATTGGTGGAGAAAAGTTGTGATTCGCTAGTGGAGACTTTAGGTTGGGATTGAACTCTCTAGCCATTCGGGAGCACGGAGCATCCGGAGGCATAGAAATGATTGTGTCTTTAATGGGGCAACCCCAAATGTTAACTTGGCTCTGGCTTTGGCTAGGGAGGAGGCGCATTGGTGGAGCATGGCAGGAGCCAAGGGACTTTCCATGCTCACTGTTGGAGGTTCAGCCTAAACGACTGATGTAGGGTCGTCTTGTTGGTCTGTCTTAACTGGTGATCTAGTGTCTGTGTAATGGCAAGGGGTGTGTGTGGGGTTTGGGTCTATGTATGACTCTTTTTTCTTCTATTAATACAATGATACGCAGTTCTTCTGCGTGTTCGAGAAAAAAAAACAGCAGCCATTATCAGTTTACAAAACTGTGAGCCATACATAGGAATTGTGGTGAGAATGAAATTCATTGGGAGTTAGTCCAAAGAAAAAAAAAGGAAGAAGCACACACATAAATACCTTGCTCACATAAATGCTTTATATCATTCATCCATCTAAATTTCGGCAGTACAGTCCGATCTACTAAGCACCTTCTTCCTTGTCAATGCCTAAGTGGAAGCAAACAACAAACATGAAATTGCATATTTTGAACTCAGCTTCTGCAGCACAATTTTTCTGGCTTCTGTAGCGTTGTCTGCACAGCCCATAGGTAAACCTGTTGGACATCCATCCAGCCATAACATCAGTACAGGGCAAATAGGATGAAGAGCAAGATGAACACTTGACAGGAGTCAGCTACAGTTGAAAAACCTCACCTAGACGACGGTTCCGACCATGTAGCCCATGGATCCGGCCAAGTATCCGCCGGAGCAGACGTAGCACAAGAAGCGGCCGGGGCCATGGTCGGGGCACAGCCCAAGGTTGAAGCCTGTATATATACGACATGGAAGGAAATAGCAGGACCGTCGATCTCCAAATTTAGACGGCCCTCCTTCGATTCATCGACGTGGCCATTGTGAGGCCGCGCCGGCTCCTGTTCTCTTGTCTTTATTAGATCTGTCATACTCATACAGTCATACCTGTTTCTCCAGCAGTTCTGCCATGCTTCATACTTCTCGAGTTGTTTGGGCAATTGGGCCCTCGTTTTCCGCTGGTCCCGGCCTTGCAGGCCTCAGCGGTAGTTGGGACCGTGGACCGGGCTACAGCGTACAGAGCGCCGGACTATGGCAGCTCCGCAGCGGTAAGCCTGCTGCGCTCATGAAGCATGCAGCGTGGCTGTTGGCTCAGCAGCTGGCCGAGTGCACTGTGTACATACACCGATACACGGCATGAGGCAGCGGCAGCGGTAGTGGGTCCCGTTCCCGTAGCTACGCCTACGACTACGAGAGAGGCCAAACTGCCGAAGCGGCGAGGCTCGTGGCGACCACGTTCCCCCACCCTCCCGCGGCGCGCGACCGCCCGCATGTGCGCGTGAAAGCGGCGCGCGACCCACCAGGCCACCCCCGACCCCGATCCGCTCCCGTTCTCCGCACGGGCGGGCGCATTCAAGCGGCTGCCGCGCGCGCCGCCGTGTCCCGTGTCCCGTGTGCCGAGCACCTGCAGCAACAGTGAGCGCCCGACCACTCCGCGTACGGTTTCTGGGGTCTGGTCCGTGCGCCCGCGAGCGAACGAACGGCTGCATCACTCGCCGCGGAGAAAGCCACACCACTCGGCGGTGCTCTCTGCTGGCTGAGGCTGCCTGCCTCTGTTTGGCTGCGACGTCCGCGTCTTTCCGAGCTCCGCCAGGCCCGCCGAGCGCAACCACCGAGCGAGTGATCGACCAACCGGTCAATCGATGCGTGTCGCGGGCATGCATGGCCCGGCTGCCCGCCCGTCTACCGCTAGGGACCTCGTGGTCGTGGCCATGCATATGCATTGGGCTTGCCCTTCACCGGTCGAGCACGCACTGACCGTCGTCTACGCACAGTCCACGTCACAATAACGTTCCTGCCGCCTGCCTGCCTGCCTGCTCAGTTGTCAGTTCATCACTAGCGAATGCTGATCAATACCGAGCGCCACTCTGAATTTCACGGCGTGTGTGTCGTCGTCGCAGGCAGCTGCTCCACGTTGCCATTTCAACCGTAGCTGAGACTGAGAGATCAGATCATCCAAACTTCCGTCCCAAATCGGTGGTGCGCGAGCTATTCACGCCACGCCACGATGAGGGGACTTCAGGGAACCATGCATTGCGTTGCATGCATCTAAACCGAACACGACAATTCCCACCGGCCGGTACGCTGCACCGCCAGGGGCGGCGTTTTTGGGAACGAAGAAGAGCTCGATCCGATCCTGACCTGGCACGTTGTCTTCTTCCCGACACGATCGAGCGAGGCTCACAGAAACGAAGCGTGGCTCAGGTAGGTGCAATGCAAGTGTGACCAGCGCTGCCGCTCCGGTGCCTGCCGACTGCCGTCCTTCTCGCGTCGCGGCCATCCTGTCCAGATCCTTCTCCGTCATACAGATCAGCCGTCGCTTTCGCCGCTCCTTGTGTGGTGGTGTGCTGTGTACTTGCATGATTGCATCGCATTGGATCCTCCCATGCAGCGGCGCCACATCAAGCTAGACATGAGCCACCGCCCACCTCGAAACGTTAGAAACAAAAAGCAAATCATGCAATGCCCTTTTGTATTGTATGTCCTGCAAGTTAAAACTGAACCTTCGCTTTCGTCTTGTTCTTTTCAAAAGGTTTATATGATTGTTGGCGCTACAGCTGGGTTGCTAAGACCTGTGTGCAGTGTCTACAAGCGGACACGAACTGTTCCGCCCATGCCGGTGCTCGTGCTAGTGCTAATCAGATCGACTCGAGGCACCGGTCTTGGGGGGCAGAGTCCATGGCCATGGCATCTTCAGTCTCGCAGTGTCGTACGTTTTCGTGGCATGCCGACCCAAAAGATTCCGTCTCTAATGAGGCTATCCATAACAGCATCTACTAATTGTTTAAGATCACATTGCTCACAGCTACTTGCTCCTCGTCATCTTCCTCGAAACTGAGCTCAAAATATTATACACTACACACGCTGATCGCTCATACAGTACATCAGCATCACTGGACTACAGAAAAGTATTTATTTATAAATATATTGCAAGTACAAATGAAACCAGGGGCCTGCTTCTGCTTGATGCTCCAGCACGAGGGGGCCACGGCATGATGGAACAGATCGCTTGCAGACAACCAGCCTGTTCGCTGGTTGGTTTCTGGGCTGATAAACCTGATTGGTGTTGATTTATTGTGAGAGAAAAACATTGTTAACTGGCTGATAAGCCCTGCCTGAAACCAACAAGCGAACAGGCTGAACGCATGCCCTGTCCTGAGCCAGTCCAAGAACTCTCACAACCACATCCACGATTCCAGATACATGTATTGCCAAGCCCCATTTTTAACACCACTGCAGAAATGGTCCATGCAGAGTCATGATTAGCAAGGTTCGAACGTTCTGTGTGG